CCCAAAGCATATCGGTAATATGCTTATATAAAGAATATATTATATAAAGAAATTATTTGTAAAAATTTAAATAACAAATATTTAATGTAATAATTTTTTTTTTTTAGTACTTATAAAAGTCACATTCGAACTCAGGGTAATCCTGCAAGAGGTATAATTGATGGTGACTTAGTTTGGCGTTATCTATATTTACCTAACAATGAAAAAATAGATGTAGCAAAAAAAATCGGTACACGTGTACAAGAAATAATAGAAGATCTGACGGAGATAGATAGACAAACAGCTCATTTTTAAAAAAAATATCTTTTTATTATTTCAAACCTATACTCCATTTTAAAGATTCTTCTATCTAATGAAGTATTTATCAAGGGAATATTTTTCTATTTAAAATAATAATAATTATAATTGTATTTATATTTTTTATAAAACCTACATTTTTAGAAATTTAAGTTTATTGTAAACATAGCTGAAATTTTAAATATGTATGTATATCATATTAAAATGAATTTTGTACAGATCAAGAATATAGTGATTTTTTAAATTGCTAAATTCATGAGTTATTTTTTGTCACAAAAATATATTAATTAAACAATAAATTTTTATAAAGATTAAAATATCTAATATTTTTTTTATATTCATTCTATAAGTTATTACGATTTTAAACTAAACTTTAAAGTACACAATTAAAAATGGAGAAAATGGATAAAATAGACAAATCGATAAGTCGATTATCTATTAAGCAAAGCATCGCTTTAAGACGATTAACGAAGACTGAAGTAATAGGTAATAAGTCATTTAAATATCAACAAATTCAAATAAATCAACAAAATATTATAAGTATTATATTATTATTATAAGTATAACAAAATATTATATACATATAATAAATAACTTTAAATCAGAAATTTTGCTATAAGAACACTTTTCAATTTAATCAATATACTTTCTATCAATATATTGATTAAACAATTTTAAATACTACAAAGCAAATACTACATTGACATGATATTTTACAACTGTTAATACAATATATTGTTTGATAATTTATATCATATCATACAATAAATGGCACAGTGTAATATTATATTATTCAATTATTATTTAATTATATTATTTAAGTTAATTTATACTCTATTTTTATGATTTTATATTATATATTTTTTATATATTTTTATGTTAGAAAGCTTTTTTTTTTACATGCAGCACCAATAGTAGAACTAACAATATTGGAAAAAAGAATTTGTGAAGTATTTGATATATTTGATACTACAAAAAGTGATGAAATAGATGTTAAAGATTTGGGAATTATTATTAGAACATTAGGATGTGTTGTCACAGAAGCAGAATTACAAGAAATACAAGTTCAAGTGGAAGATGTAGTAACTAATCGTATACCATTAAAAAAGTTTTTAGAATATATGTCCAAAGCTATTGGTGAATACAAGTAAGCTTTTTGTAAATTTGAATTTTATTAAAGGATATAAGTTATGATATTTACATTTTTGAGTATTTATTTTGAATTTGTTTTTAATTTTTCATTTTAATATAGATATAAACCAGCAGAACCAGAAGATTTATTAAAAGCATTCCATTTATTAGATCCTGAACATCGAGGTTACATTATGCGTGAAGACTTAGAAAAAATAATGATGGAAATTGGAGAACCATTTTCAATAGAAGAAATAAATAACATGATGGCTATTGCATGTGATCCCGAAACAAAACAAATTAATTATGAACATTATATTAATTTATTACTTGTATGTATTGATATTTTATATTAGTATATAGTTTTATATTTAGTATATATAATAGATAATATATTATAATATATTTTATGGTTTTTATGCAAATATATTTTATAAGCATATTTTATTATAAAATAATTATCACAATAATTAATAATATAATTAAAATTAAATTGAAATCTATAGAATATTTTTATACATTGCTTATAGGTAAAAATACCTGAACCATTGAATGTATATTCCATTGTTGATGTAATGGAGGCTGCTAGATTAGAAGCTATGCCTAAAAAACCTAAATTGGATAGTCTTTTACTTACTTATCAATAATTTTTAATATGCAATTTATCTGATGAGATCAATATATTTCATTAATAATATAATGGATGCTGTTAAATTAGAAACTATGCCTAAAAAACATAGATTGGAGAATCTTTTATTGACTTAACAGTCATTTTTTTAATATACAATTTATTTAAAAAAATATATAATCAACAAAAAATATGTTAGTATTAAAATAATTATAAAAGTAAATTATAAAATATTTCTTAATTTTTTTCTAAAAGAATAATATTATTATTATATATATAAAATATAAATTCATATAATTTCATATTATAAATATATATATATCAAATTATATATATATATCATAAAATTTCAATGTTACAATTTAGAAAATATTGGAGGATCACTTTTGGTGGCTTGTGACATAGCTGCATTTATAAAATCTTCACTTAGAAGCATACTCTGATTATACATGGCCTATTAAAATATAATTTAAAAAAGATATATAAATATGTGTATAAAAAATTATTAAATTTTTTATAGGTGGAAAAATATTAAAACTTACAATATGGTCCAAACCTTCTTGAACAGTATGATCTCTTGAATAAATTAAACTTAATTTTGAACCCTGTATTGCAACTGGACTTTTACTTGCTATTTTTTCTGCAAGCTTTATTGAACCATTTAATAAACTAAAAAATTAAAGGTATGTTTTTAATTCAATAATTCTTAAAAATAGAAAAATTACAAAAATAAAAATTCTTTTTTTATTATTTACAAAAAAAATATATTTTTTACCTTTCTTGATTATCAAATAAACAACTCACAAAACCTTGTTGTGCAGCTTCAATAGCTGAAAATTTTCTTGCAGTATATACAAGTTCTCTTATTAAACTGTCAGAACCTATAATTTTGGAAAATCTTTGCAATGTACCAACATCAGCAGCCATACCAAAATCAACTTCTTTTATTTGAAACCATGCATCTGAAGAACAATAACGTATATCTGCTGCAGATATCATATCTATACCAGCTCCAATACATGCACCATGTACAGCTGCAATTACTGGTTTTGGACACTAAAAAGTAATTTTGAAAAAAAAACTAAAATAATAATAAATATACAGAATAATTAAATCTTAATTTAAATAATATAGTAAATAGTATTATATTTAAAAAAATTGTAATATACAACTTTTTCTATTGCATCAAAACTCTCTTGATATTCTTTTATCTTTAATCGTAAAATCTTGCATTTTCGTGCAATATCTTCATGTTTTGTTAAATCTTGACCAAGTTTCATTATATTTTGCACATCAATACCTATAAAATTTTAATAATAATATAAATAATATTTAATTTTTTTTTATTATATATAATATTTATAAAATAAAATATAATATACCTGCACAAAATGCTTTACCAATACCTGACAGAATTATTACTCTACATTCCGATTCTGTAGCTAATTCATTAAAACAAATTTTAAATTCTCTGTATAATCATTAAATTAAAAATTTAATAATATTAAATTTCAAATATAATAAATTTAAATTAAAATTTAATGCAAATACATACTTCCACATAACATCATTTAATGCATTAAGTTTTTCAGATCTATTTAACTGTATCATAAAAACAAATTCTTTTGGTACAGATATTGTTAAAGTTTTATATTTATCAAAATTTTTAATATTAGAATAATTCATTTTATAAATATATTGTGTTTCTGAAAAAATTATACGTATTTTAATATTTTTGATTATATGATATTTTTTATTATTTTTTTATTTTATTATAGATAACTAAATTAAAAATCAGTTTTTTATGGAACTTTAATTTTAAGATTTAATTCTTACGTGTTTTTATATTTTTTAAACAATAGCGAATCGTATTTAAAAACATGTTAATGAAAAAATTTCAAATCAAAGCTGAAAGTAAAAAAATAATTACTAATTATATTTTATATTTATGTATATTTCTTGAATATATATACAATGTTAGAATATATAAATTAATCGTGCTCCGTAACAATATTATGTCAATTAAAAATCATTGAAAAATTATCAAAAATATATATATATATAATAAATATATAAATATATGTAAACATACATATAATATACATAAATATACATATGATTTAAAGAATTACTACATCATAATCCATTGAAATCAAAACTACATAATTAAAATCTAGGAAAATCAAAGTTGATTATAACAGAATATATTATCATTTCCTACGTTAATTTATTTAAAAAATTCATTGTCAACATGACATAAATAATTTAATAACAAAATTAAATTTATTCTAAATATAATATATCATGTATTGTATTATAATTGCCTATCATAAATATTATAAGTATTATAAAGTATAATATAGAGCTGAAAAGTTAATATTTAAATTGGCACAAAAATAAAAGAAATATTTTTTTTTACATTTACATTAACATATAATGATATATATATTTTTATCTTTAAGATTATTGGATCTAGCAAATATAAGATTTATCTTAGATTTATATTCCTTTCAGATGGCAATTTTTAAAATTTTTTAATTAATTATTTTTAAATTAATTTTTAAATTATTTTTTAAATTATTTTTAAGAAAAAGTGAAATCATATTTTAGAAAAACACATAAGTGATGAATTTATTATATTATAAATAATTTTATAAATAATTATATATTATAATATATATTATATATATTAAATATATAATATATATATAATTATAATAAATATAATATATATAAATATAATATATATAATATATAATATTTTATAATTATATTATAATATACAATATTGTATATTTATTATATTATATAATTATTTATTATATAATATAATAAATACATAATATTGTAAGATAAAATATTAATATTACTCTTTTATAAATATTTTACTAAATTCTTAACTAAATTAATGAGAACTATATTACGTATTACTTTACTATCTAGTGCTATTTATTTTATCTCTATAAAGTGCTTAAGAATTAGTGTGTAACTAACTTCATAGACTTTATTGTCCAAACTGGTTTGTAAGCTGTTGCAGTGGACAAAATGCTGTCGAGATTAACTTTTCGCAATAGTAAGATAAAATTTTTATTAAAATGAATTAAAACTATTACATTGTAAAAAATTAAAAACAATATTAATAATATACCAACTTAATATAATGTTTCTATTATTATAAAATTTATATCTATTATTGCCATTATGTAATACTATATCATTTCTGTTATATTTTACTTTTAAATTTACAAATTTGATTATTATGATTATATTTTATATAATATGCTTAAATATAGTAAAAATATGTTGGATAAAAAAAAATTGGATTAAAATTAAAAAAAAATTCATATTTGACAAAATAATGAATTTATAAATGATTTTTCTAGTATAGTTAATATTTAGTTTTAAATAATAAATAAAAAATGTTTTTTAACTTTTATATTTTTTTATTTTATAATTTATTTTATAGTTCCTTCACAAGTAAAGACTTTAGCTTGTGGAATTCAAACAACTGCAATAGCATCATCTAATGGACCACGTTTAAAGCGACCCATAGATGCACCTCCAGTTAGATTAGGATTTATTCCAGAAGAATGGTTTAAATTTTTCTATCCTAAAACTGGAGTTACAGGTAAATTGATAATTTATAAAATATTTATTTAATATTTTGGTTTAAGATAATATATGATTTTTTTATTTTTGTATTTAGGTCCATATATATTTTTAACAACTTTTTCAACATATTTATTATCCAAGGAATGGTATATTATGGAACATGAATTTTATAATGGACTTTCTTTGCTTTCAATCATTATATATATCCAATACAAATTTGGAGCGAAAATTGGAGCATTTATAGATAAAGCAGTTGATAAAGAAGAAGAAGAACTTAATAATCAGAAAAATGAAGATATAGAAGAAATTCAGAAACAGATTGATGAGTTGGAAAAAGAAAAGTGGCGCCTTGATGGACAATTAATGCTTTATGATGTAAAGAAGCAAAATATTTGGATGCAATTGGAAGCAAGTTATAGAGAAAATTTGGCAACTATTCATTCACAAGTAAGAAGCTTCTTTTTTTTAAATATTGATTTAAAAGATGAATGGAATTATATTCTTATACAAAATATATTTATATTCGTTACATATATTTAAATTTATGCTTATTTATATATCTTCTTTGTAGGTTAAAAAAATTCTTGATTATCATGCTCAAATAGATATTATAAATCGTAGAATTTCTCAAAAACATATGATGCAGTGGATTATAAATAGTGTATTAGCATCTATCACACCTGAACAAGAAAAAGCTAATCTTCTACAATGTATTAAAGATCTTGAAGGTCTTTCAAAAGCTTGAAGTTTTATGCAGAACAAAATAAAATAAAAATATTATTAGTAATACCTGGGCTAGTATATTTTAAAAAATATGAAAATATTACATAAGAAAAAAACAATGTAATATTTTAAAATTAAATCATTATTTATCAGAGTATTTATAAATATAATATAATATTTCAATGAATAAATATAAAAAAATAATATTAAATTATATGTTAATATCTTTTGTTTCTTTAATAAAAAAATCTATATATTAATTAATTATATTATGATAATTATATTTTGATATTTTGATTTAATTCAATTTAATTTTGTTATTATATAAATTAATTTTATAAAGCAATTTTATAAAGCATTGTATATTAATTAAATATATATTAATACAAATAATTAATAATTGTCATATTTTAAATATGGAACATGATTAAAAATTTGAATTTTATATAAAATCATATAGTATAATTTAAGCACATATAAGACATAACTATATTGAATTATTGATAGTATATTTATATAAATAAAAATAATATATCAAAAATAAAATTTTTTTTATATCATTTTTTTATTCATGATAAATGTATGAATAAATTACATTAAATTACATTTATTTACAAAAATTTATTAATAATTAATATTTACTAAATCATTATCATATTTCTTAATAATTAAATTTAAGATAAAAGGAAATTTTTAAATAATTTTGATATATATAGATATAGATAGATAGATATATTCTGTTATTTTAGGTTAAGTTATTATAGATGAGAACATGAATTTTGTGAAGTGTTAAACGTCATCAAAATTATAACAAGGATTTATTTTTATTTTTATATAAAAATGGCATGGTTGTCAGGTCTTGCTGATAAAGCTGAAAATTTATTAAATAAAATAGATAAAAATACCGCTGCAGTTTTAAATAAAGACAAATATGAATTACCACAGTCTCAATTGACACATGTTACATGGATTCCTTCTGAGTCATGGTAAAAAAAATTGATTATTAAATGTCATTAATATTTTATTTTGTTATATTATAAATATTATCTATTATCAATTATACATATTATTTTTTTAAAGAATAGATTAATTTTTTCTTTAATTTAAATATTATTGTTTTTTATCAATCTTTATTTGTATATTAATGTATATTAATATTTATTAAATTATTATTAAAGCAGAACAATTAATTTGATATTTCAGTGTTAACAGACAAGATGATATGATTTTGAAATCTACTACAGAATCACCAAAGAATTTTTCTTATGTTCGTTCAACATCAAATCTTTCTTCATTGACAACAAATTCTATTATGTCTAGAGATGAAGAGCTTCTTACTTTTTTAAATACAGCAAATTCAAGTCCAAAAAAAAATATAGCAGAAGTTTCAATATCACCACCAACACCTTCATCACTTATGGTTGAACATCCAACAGATACAACAGATTCTGTATCAGATTTATCAATTCATAGTGGTTGCTCCAGTCCCAGTTTTATGCATACTTCTGTAGATGTAACAGATAATCTTAATTATGATATTGTAAATGTAAACAATAATTTTTGTACAACCGAAGTAATAGATACATTAAATGATGAAATAATAGAAAATCAAATTTCTGGTATTATTTTAAATAATATATATTTTAAATATATATTTTAAATTTATGTTAATTTAAAAATTTAATCAAATAATTAATTTTCAAATTTATTTTAGGACATGATATTATTAAAAAAAAAACTGATACTATACAACAAGGATATAAATGTGATGTAAAACAAGAAAATATGGAAATAAATAAATTAATGAATTCATCTCACAACAAATACATAAGAAAATATCTAAAAGAAGTAGAAAGAAATTTAGAAGAAAGAAATGAATTACTTGGAAAACAAGAAACAGACCATCAAAAAGAAATCACAGTCTTGAATGAAAAATTGCAATCTCTATACACAGAGAAAGTACAATTATCTAAACAAGTAATAGAATTACAATTTGCTTTAGAAAGAAGTAGATCAGAATTAAATTCTGCTAGATCTGATCTAGAACAACATAAAGCTAGAGCCTTAAAGACATTACAAGAAAAAGAAAAATTGATAGCAGATTTAAGATGCAATGAGTCTACAGAAATGGATGATACAACTATTATAGAACTAAATCAATTAAGGTGAATATGAATTTAGAAAAAATAAATATTTAATTAATTTTATTTTAATATATATTATTGAATAATAGACAAGAACGCGATATACTTAGAGAAGAAAATCAACAAATTTCTGAACAATTAAGAATAGTACGTGAAGAATTAATGAATGCTGATGTAAAATTGGAAAAAATGAGACAAAAATCTACTGAGGCAAATGTACAAGCTCAAGAAATTCTTGCTACAGAAAGACGTAGAAGATTGGATGCAGAAGAAGATGCAAGATTACATTCAGATGTATATTAATATTTTATTTGTACGTTTTACATATGTTGTATGTAATGAGATTAATTAATAATAATCATTATTTTAGGAAATAAGATCATTAAAAGATGAATTAATTCGACAACGTAATAATTATACTACACAAATACAGAAAAGCGATTCTGAAATTGCTCGACTTAGAATGCAATTATCTGCAGCTTCAACACCAAATGGCGAAATAGAATCGAGATTGGCATCTCTTACACAAACATTAGTTTCAAAGCAACAAGCATTAGAAAGTTTAACAACAGAAAGAAATGCTTTAAGGCTACAATTAGAAAAAATAGAAGTATGTTAATTAAAAATAATTTATTTCCTAAATGGAATAAATAGTATCAAATATGAAAATATTATTCTGTGAAATATTACAATATTAACGATTTTATATGTATAATAAAATATTTTCTTTATAGCATGAATTTAGGAATAGTCGTCGTAATGTTCCTTACAATAGTATAAACGATACAGATGATGCTAAAGCTCAAGTACCGACATTTCTAATAGAAACTCCATTTGATACTGGAGTTACTAGAAGAGTAAAAAGAGCTTATTCTTTATTAGATGCTATTAGTATTCGCACAGGAGTATTTTTAAGAAGATATCCTCTTGCAAGGATTTTGGTATTAATTTATATGGTAAGTATAGTATATAGATTTAGAATCATTAGTTCCAATATACAAAAAAAAAAAAAAAATGAAATTAATATTCTTTACAGGCATTACTTCAATTTTGGGTTCTTATAGTTCTTTTATCACAATCACCAGAAGCTCATTAATCAATATTTATAATACATTCAATAGAACATTTTTGTAAATATTATATTGGGATAGTGCACATATAATTGTTATAATTACAAATCTGCAATTTTTTAATTCTTTACAAGTTTATAATGTATTATATAATATATAAAAATTTTATTTCTTAAATTAATTTTTTAACATTTATTTGAATAATAGTTTTATTGAATAGTATTTACTGAATATATGTATATCATGTTAATAACTTTTTATGAAATTATTGTAAATATGGAACAGAAATTCTATATTTGCAATTAATAACTAATGAAATATTTTTCTCTATTCAAATCATTATTTATTTTTGCACTACACAAAAAAACAAAAATAATATTACAAAGATAATAAATATAATGTATTTAATTCAATTTAAATAAATAAATAAATAAATAATATTAATTGCATTATAATTTTTCATATCAAATACTTTGAGAAAGATAAGCAATTTTTAATTTTTAAAATGAAATATATAATATCGATAAATTTTATTATATTTTTTTTATAATTTCATTGATATTTTTATTATTTGATCAAATAATAAGAATTTATTCTCTATGAAATAATTTATTTATTTCATTATTATATTTATTAAAAATATATATATATAATCGAACATAATTACAGGATTCAAAATTTTTATGGAATATATTTGAAAAAATAATTTACTAGAAATTTTTAAAAGTTGAGATCATTTTAATGTATATTTCTAATTTATTAATAAAATCAGATTTTAGTTTCTTTTTTTTTTAAATGTTTTATACATATCATTACAAAAAACAAAAATATCTAAATAATCTAATTAATTATCATTATTCACTATTTTTACATATCTCGCTAATTGTTAATATGTGATTTGGTTGATTCTTAATGCTACGTATTACTTTGTTACATTAAAACAAAAGAATTTGATATGCAATATAAAAACAGAGGCATGCGAACAAATAAAATTTCACTATATGCATCTTTATATTTTGCAAATAATATGTATTTGGTAATTAAGAAATTGTTTTTTTATTTGTTATTTGTAATTACATAACATAAAACGTTGATCAAATAATTTCCAAATGTTAGTAACATGTTGAGCAGTTTTCTTGTTGTTTGATCGAACGTTTAATACTATGCCTCTGTTGCAAATAATTAATTTACTATTATTCTATTGTTCATGACATTAATTTAAAATATAGATTATTTTACGAGATATAATTTATTTTTATAAAGATATACAATTTTATCAAATGTTTCGCAAGAACGCTGCACGAAATTTCATTCATTGCTGATCTAATTGTAACAATTCGAATAATACTTAAGTAGAATAAATTACAATTATGTATGTATATTGCTTTAGCAATCGGAAAAGTGTATGATTCCTATACTTTTTAGGCACAAATTTTATAATTAACCGATTTATCTAAATATAATCAGTTTAAATAAAAAGAATTAGATCATTCTTTTTTTTATTGCAAAAATAATTGAAATATTAAATAATTCGAATATTAGAATAAAGTTAAAGTGTTTAAGTATTTAAACATTCAAATGAATACAAATTTTACAGTAATTTTTGTTGATTGTTTAAATTTAAATTTTAAAACAATAAGTTATTAAAAAATTGAAATCAATATATATTTATTATTTTTCTACAAAATTTATGAATTCTTATTGTTGAAATTTCTTTTATATTTTTTTTAATACTATAAATTTTAAAGAATCATGCATTTTATAAAGAATAATTCAAAATTCAATCAATATTTCGACTTTCGATATTACTAGTATATTTTTTATAATTTTCAAATTAATTCCATATAATTTTTATTAATTTCATATAAATTTATATATAATATATATATAATATTATATATAATATATTATATATAAATTCAGAAACTTATCATGCGCATTAACCCTTTCTTTCCTATATAAGTTTTATGTGATCATATTTAATTATTAAAAATATTTCAGTAGAAGTTAATTATAAAATTGCATATAAAAAAATACATATTTTATTTCATTCATAAGCTAATTTTTAATATTTAAAATATTTAATATTTCATATGAAACATTTATTTATTTATATTAAATAATAATGTTTATTAGAAATAAAAATTAAATACAAAAAATTTGGAAATGAAAGGATTAATATATATATATAATATATATCACATATTGTAAACAGCGAAAAAAATATAATAATACGCAAAAAAAATATAATAATTTGTTTATATTTGTTCGAATTGCTCTTTATAAACCGAAACCAATTTCTTCGCAGGATTGCAAAAAATATTTTTTTAACATTATAAGCAATTATAAATCCCATTTCTACTATTCATTGCAAGTATCAAAGTCGAATCAAATATTTAAGTCTATTTCATTTTGAGATTCATTAAAAATCATTTTTTTATCGATATTTCAAATCGATAAATTGTTACGTTTAATTCTTGGCAAACGCGTTTAATTGTTTAAATGATAATAAAAATAACAAAATTATATATTCTGCTAAGAGAAAAAACGAAGAAGCTTAATTAAGAACTTTTGATACAGTCATTTCTGGGGTTCATTCTACTATTAATATATGTGTTTTTTTGTTTCTACTTTATCCTAAAAGTAAATATATATAAATTAAAGAATTTTTTAAAGCCATGAAAATAACAAAAATAACATAAATTTAAAAGATTGCAACAATGTATTTTTATATTTTAAAAATATTAAAGGAAATTATTGTGACAAATGAAATTTTTTTTTAATAATTATTTTTAATTATTTTTTTAATATTTTTGTACATACATTGTTTATAAATAATTAAGTAGAATTTTTTATGAAATATATTCCGATAATCTAAAATTTTATAATCACTAAGTGCAAAGATAATAATAATATGCGATTGTTGCAATATATCTTGCGAATTAACATTTAATTGTCATTAACTTACTGTCATTACTTTAATAATACTAATTAGTAAATTTTAATGGAAACGGACAACTTAAAACATATCTATAATGAAATATTTATGATAATATATAGATGCTAAAAAAAAATTTCGAGTTGAAAGAATTTATCATAATGTATAATATGATTATTATATATATAATTCATATGAAATTTTGTAAATTATATTCTTGAAATATGAATACACGATCACAATTTCTTTTTCACATTAACAGAATTAGCATTGCTTTTAAATTTGGTTCTTCTTATGAAATATATATGTATATATATATATATGTATATATATATATTTTACATATTTTATTTCATTCATAAGCTAATTTTTAATATTATATATATTATATATGTATTATATATATTATATATATAAATATATATCTCTCACGATTGATAAATAAGGAGGTTCACTAATTGAAAACTATATTTGCAGAACCTCTTTTAAAAAAGTAATGCTACATTTTTATTTCTTGTTGTTTTTATAATTCTTTTTATATTTAGAAAGAGATTATGTAAAAATATATAACATGCAGATTAATGTATATTTGTCTTTAGATTGTGCTTATTGTTTTATTAAGGTAAACAAAATATGAGATAAGAAAATTTTTCTTCAATTTTATTATTTATGTTTCTTTGATTATTAATTTTTATAAAATGATATTTATTATAATAAGTTTCTATCTCTTGAACATTATGTATTTATATAATATTAACTGAAATAAGTTAAAAATGGACGTTTATTTTACGATACATTTAGTCCGAAAATACTTTATTCTTTTGATAAAGTATTAAGATTATGTCGAATATGAAATATTTTAAAAAATCTATATTATTTTAGAATGAAAAGTTTTTATCATTTAATTCTACGCGATGCTGATAGAAGTATATTCGTTAATCGAAAATCATTCGATCATCTTGAGACAATGCCACCATTTTGTTTAAAATTAATTCAATTAATTGCGAAATTCTTATATCGCAAAACGAGAGAAAGAGGCAGAGTTACAAGTCAAATACAAATTTCACAGCCACCAATTTGCAGGCAATTTTTTTTTCTTTTTAGAGATAAGCTTTGCTTCTAAAATTCCGATACTAAACTCGAGCGTGAAGCAATCCTGCAATTTTATTTCTGAAAGTCTTATAGCAGTGTTAATAAGTATTTAAATATTTTAAATAATTGTAATAATTCTATGTTATATGACTACAAATTATTTTATACCGTTGATTTTCTAACGTTATACTTACTTTATAATTTTTCTGAATAGCTACTTCATCGACATGCAAACTTCTTTGATTAAAATTTCTTTTACTAAAAATATAGTGAATATTTTTTTTCTATCATTATTAAAAATATTGCATTTATGTGATCCATTTTATATTTAATAATTAAAACATCTTTTACTTTTTAAAAATAAATATATAGAAAGTTTTTCATTGATAATGCAAGTTTTTCTACAACTATTATGTAAAGATTAAACGATATAGAGTTTACGAACTATAAATGTATTTTCTCAAAGAAAAAAATAAATTGATATACTTTTGGAGAACTCGATAATCTTTATTTAATAGAGTAATTTCGAGTTCTTTATATTATACATTACAGTACAATTCTATCTTTCTTTGATTATATAAAATGATTTATAGACTGAAGAGTTTTATTTATTTCTAAATTTTAATTTGTAATATAAGTAGTCTTTATTCTTCGGTAAAATTTTTGATGAATGGGATGTGCATTATTAAAAATTAATGAAGATTATAATTGGATTTATCTTTAAATACTTATTGTATTTATAAAATTAAAAATAACATTTTATTTGGATATTTATTATTAAAAATTTATATTATATGAAATATGATTGCTCCACATTAAAATTACGTTATTTTTGACGTTATTACTATCTACCTATTTATATTTTCTAATAAGAAAATGGTTTCTTTTTTGTCATTTTTTATTATTTGGATTATTTTTTCACGACTAAAATATTATATAGAAGTAGTTCATAAAACGAAATTTACAAACTATTTAAATACGAAAATTTTAAAAATAATGATAAAAAAAAATAAATAAAAGATAATACATTATATCGATCAATTTAAATATCATAAGAAATTTTAATGATATTAAAGAACAAATTTTAAATCAAAAACTTAAAAATTATATTATTGATTTTACTATCTTACAGATAGAGTCAGAAAATTTCATTTAAAACTTCAATATCATTAATAAACCCTATAACGAACTAATGAAGACAATACATTCTAAAAAATCTATCAATTAAACTTCATCTGCATCATCCCAATCTTCTTTCCAATAGCATTCTTATTCTGTTTCGTTCAACTAAGAATCGATCGCATCATCATTCTACTTAAAACGATCAAATGACTCAAATCGTTTTATTCTTTTCGATTTCATTTACGAATTACCTCTTTTTCTTGCGCATGATTCTCAAACATTACGATTCGATGTCAGATTGTTCAGAGTCGTTTTCGTTGTTACTACAGGTTGACGTGACGTCGTTTGATGAGGAATTTATCGAGTTTGGTGTGGGCGGAAGCGATGGTCTTGGTATAGTTTTCTCCGTCGACGAGGTCACATCCGTTTCCTTGCAGTCAATAATATCCAATCTCTGTTGTATACACTTGTTTTCGGGATTGTTCAATACTGAATGAATAAAGTCTCGAGTCTCTGCGCGCAGAGCGTTTACTCTTTCTTGAAGAATGTTGTTTCGTCGTATCAGAGCCATAGTACGTACGACAATATCTAGAAGACCTGATGATGATATCGAATAATCTGTTATATAATTATTCTAATTTTAAATAAATTTTAAATTTCAAGTCAAATAAAAATTGTAATTAAAATTATTGTTTTAATTAAATAATCAAAATTATATTTATTTTATAAAAATCCATTAATTTTGTAAAACTATTGAAATGATGTAAATTATATTATAATGATAATGTAAAAAGATAAATGATGAATATCGTTCTAAAATAAATACTGAAATTTCATTAAAATAACGAATTAGAGATAACAAAATTTTTATTCCGAACAACAGTTTCTTGTGAAATATTTTGTATTTTAAATTTTAATAATTTATTATATTTCATTTATCAAATATTAATTAAAAATGATTTAATTCGCATTTATATTAGTTTTTATAATTTACATACATAATTTTACATATTTTTTAATAAATAAGAATAATTAGAAATAATTTGTATAGAATTAAAAATTTCAAAATTAAGTAAAAATTCTCCTCTTTTAAATAACTTAAAATGATCTTTTAACAAAAATTCAAAACATAAACTCAATAAAAAAGTTATTAAAAAAAAATCATTTTTTTAATAAAATTTGTTTTGTTTCTGTTCATCAATCGCACACTTAATTATATTAAAAACTACACCTTTTCGTCTCGCTAGGAACACTTTCCAATGTTCCTTTGTGTCCACTGGAACTCTAGCAGAAACATTTGGAAAGGAAGAACTGACGATTGTCGGATCACAGGAGTCATTGGAATTTTCTGGTTCCCAAAGAGAATTTTCCGGTGGTATCAAAGACCCATTATCGCGTGAAGACTCATTCGTTTCTAATCGTCTAATTTCTAGCCTTTGTTGTTTTGCAACAGCTCCATTATGAATCCTTTGTCTTCGTCGTGAACATGGGATTGTAGATGTTCTTACAACAGGTATCTCCGACAAGTAAATAGTCGGAGCCATTTTATAATAAAATCTGCAATCAGAAAAATAAAATTCTTAGAAAAAAGATACTCATTTAGAAAAGATTTTATAGAAAAGAAAAAGTCTTTATCATTTAAAAGAGGTATTATAGAAAAGATTTTCATTTAGATTAAGACTAATTAAAAATAAAATATGTTTGATAATAATAAAATTCTGTAAATGTACTTATATGAATATATGATAATTTTAATAGTTCATATGTTGTCATACATTAATATTATTGATTTTATATTAATATTCTAGATGGTTATATTTCATAATTTTCAAATTTGTTCTTATTTAGTAAAGATAAAAAAAATTATATCTTTTTTTTTTTTATATATTTATAAGGAAAAATAATGTAAATATCTATTTATTATAATAAATAGTTTTATTTTTAAATTAAAAATTTGAAAACAAAAATAAAAAAAATGAAAATAAAGCTAGAAAAAAGAGCAGCAAGAAAATAATAATATTTATAATTTTTGTAAAATTTTTTTATAATATATGTATATTTGTAAATTTCGAAGAATCTATCTATATATCTATCTATATATATCTTTAATTATTCTTTTATCTTCTATATTTTTTTAATGTTTAAAAATGCATTTATCTTTAAAAAAAATTGGTATAATTAGAAAGTTATCTTTAAATACATTATCCTTAATTATTTGTAATTATGATAAGATTATTTTTTCTCAATTTTATTTCTCCTATCTTTATTCATAATGTAGCAATAAAAGCGATACCATATATATTAATTTTTTTTGTACGTATAGTTATACATTTTTTTTTTATACATATACAATATTTAAATCAATTTATGCATAATTTGCAAGAATTACACAATTACACAATTACCCGCAAATCCGCATTTATTTCAGTGTCTCTTCATAATTGTCTCTTTAATATATACAATTTTTACAAATGTTCATAGACCAATCCATTCATGAAAATTCTCACATTTCCATAAACTATGTTTATACGTTATACAAGCCTGGTCTATCGACCATGGTAATTGTCCTGTCAGCAATATATAATGATACTAGCCATCTGCGTAATTTAACGAACAGACAACAATCGATGACCTACTTATGTACGCATCAATGATGTGTTTTATTATGTGAAAGTGCTTTCATTAAGTAAATAATTTTTATACACGATATATTTATTCAAAAATGATAAAAATACTAATATTTAATTTTCAATGAGAGTTTAAGTTACATTTAATTTAATAATAATTTTTGAATGATATTATATTTTAGTTTTTATCTTAATCTTAATTTTATTTTAATAATATCTTAATTATCTGTAATAATATTTTATAAAATTCATGATATCTATTAAATTATAATTTAAAATGAAGATTATTATTATTATTAAATTTAAATATAATTTAATTCTAATTTAAAAAGTAATTATAAAATTAAAAAATATCGAATGAAAATTAATTTATTTGTTAATCATAGGTAGATATACTTTAAAAATAAATAAATAAGACAAAGAATTTTTTTAAAAATTATTAAATTTTTATTCAATAATGCATACTTTTATGATATATTTTTAATCTACATTCACGAATATATTTGAAAAGAATTATAAAACTTTATCTCGTTTGAAACATTATTTGTAGAATGTACTTAAATCTTTAATCGAGATCACGCTTTCAATTATTAAATTTAATTAAGATAATTACATTGACGAAATACGATTCTAATTAACTCTTATTTCAAAAAATTTAACACATTAACATATGATTATATATAATTGATATCAAAGTCTATGAATAATCCATAACATAAAAAACATGATAGATCTATTTATATTAATTTTTCAATTTTAGATATTAAAAGACTATCTTATCATGATAGTTAAAAAAGAAGAACAATTCTAAATTTAAAGATAACATAATGTATTTAAATAAAGTGTTAAAATTAATGAAGTTTTAAAAACGTTAATAGCATGATATTATCAATATCATAATATGTTAATATCATCAAAGTATTCGAGTATAATTTAAAATATATTCAATATATTTAATTTAAAAAAATTAATTGATAGTATATATTAAGATTTTTTTCTTGAAAGATAAAAAAGATATTTGACTTGTCATATCTTTTTTTCTGTAATTTTCATATATAATTACTATAAATTCAGATTGATAAAATATATCTAAACAAAAAATCAATCATTCGAATCTTAAAATATTTGTTTTAATATTGTTTGTTTCAAGAAAATATTATAATAACTTTAGCAAATGATTATTGGTGTGGAAACATCGTTTTACTTTGTGATTAGAAAATTATTTATAAATTTCGAAGGATTGAAGATAAGACTTTCACTTGTTATAAATGTCTAATAATACTGACATGAGCCGATGTCTTGCACCTTGACCACAGGAGACACGTGTACACCTGCGGTAATGCTTGATGTAAAAAGTGACTACTTAAACAACGTCCGCGTGAAGGTACGTGAAACGTTTTAAAATAAAAACGGTTAAGCAAGAACGATGAAAAGTCAGCACGTGGATCATTGCTAATAAATCAAATTATTCTGCAATTATTAATTTAGTAATGGTTTAATTTTTTGCAAATTTTTCAATTACAAGTTTTTCATCTTCATATCTATTTCAGATTAATCATTTGCTTTTAAACAAATCTTTTTATTTAAAGATTTTTAGACAATACAAAGATATAATTAATTTATATTTTTTATCGATTAATTTTCTATTATAGTAAGAAATATGTAAATTGAATTTTTAATAATGATTACTATTTTTAATATCATACCTTAAATTCAATACTTTGACGTCTCTTTGAAATCTAATTTTGATGATGACATTTCTTTTAAATCTAATTTTTTTACTCCTTTAAATTTTCAAAAAGTTTAATAAAATTCTGGGATAATTATGTGTGTACTTATTTCTAGTACATTTATATATTTTTGTTAAGTTAAATATTTGAGATTTTTTTTTATAATAAAAGCAAAAAATTAAAAAAAAGGAAATCAAGGATGAAATAGATCTTGGATTATCAACGACCTAGATTTTCTTTCGAAATTTAAAGGTTTCATAATTGGAATTATAAATATCGAGAGAAACTATATATTAAATCATTCAATTAGAAAAAAAATTACATAATTTTTTTTTTTATATTTTTATTATATCTAATAACTTACATAAGCATAACATACATAATTTAAAAAAAGAAAAATTAATCTTAATAAATAAACATATAACATAAAAATAAATTTTTTACGATAAAAATTATTCCTCCAAACCTTTTTTAATTCGATAAATTAAAAAAATAAAAATTATCCTGACATTCGTATTGAAATTCGTTATACTTTTTAATAGATATCATGATCATTATAAGTGGCATTTATAGCACGATTCATAGAACGTGTTAGGGATTAGTTTTCTTAATCTATAGCCAGAGTAGTTTTTCAAGATCCTAACGTTCGAAATCAAGGGTTCTCTATAACATGTGTGTATTTAACTATAGTTTAGCTATGAATTACACGTGTTCACTCGTACCGGTTGGCGACGCGATCGATGCAGGCGATGACCTGATTACTGTGAACGTCGGTGCACGTGCCTGCACCGAAATAAAGCAATAGAGCCTCGCCACGACTTCTCGTCACCCCTCGACCGGTTACCCCGACTGCTTTGACCTCGGATTTCGTCGCACCACGTGCGACTATGAAACAATACTGATAACGCTACATGCAAGCATCCATAATCCGATTGCGGCTGCGCAATATATCATATATCGCGCATACAGCTATATCATATATTCCTGATACATCATTAATGAATGAACGCATATGTATATACGATATATTGAAATGAATGAGCTGAGAGTGCAAAATAATTTTTTCTTTTTTTTTTACTCTTTGGAGAATAAATAAAAATTATATTAATTATTATGATAATCATTGTAATAATAGCAATATTTATATGAATTATTTAAGAAATGAAAAGTAATTAGATCATGGAAGAAATTTTATAAATATTTTACTTTTGAAAATATTAATTTAGAATAATAAAAATTAAATCCGAAATCGAATGTTATTTTTCTCGAATGACATTGCGAATATTTCTTAAATTAGAAATGATTCCCGTTAATCATCTCTATAAATTATAAATAAGTATCCAATGAAAGTACATTTCTGGCATGAGATTCCATTTGCTGAATTTTGTCATATTCTGAACACATGTATACTAATGTTAGAACATTTCAAATATACAGAATTTTCATGTTATTCAACACTTCATCCTTAACCTCTAGTCACAAGTAAAATATGTTCATAGATAATCCATAAATAAACTCTTAGCAAAAGTTCTCTTTAAATAAACTTCAAAGATCATAACAGTAATTCAATCGAACTCGATATCGATAAATCCGCAACAACTTAGCCACGATAAATTATATAACGAAATAATCGACTTATATTTATAATCCCATTTCTAAAGACTTACCGAGTCAACGTACGCTAACTATCATCCGTTATAATCTTGCCGGTAATCACGAAACTGTCAAAATCTTAAGACCGTTCTCTACGGTTTCTTCCATAGAATTCCATCGATGGCACGAGCATAATCATGCGATCTTTTCTATTAAATGTAAGCCACAGATGCACGTGGTAACAGGATCAAAGGAGCCTAACGGTAATTTTTGACTCATGACGCGGATATACGCGCGATAATTCACGAAGGGGAACAGCCGTGATATATCGTAGGTGTCATCCGTGCGTTCGTGTATTCGCACCCAGCACCCAGCCGAAAAGTAAAGTGGTGGGCTCTACAATACAGACATCCGTTAGCGGCAACTTCCCTACGAATGAAGGCCAATAGGGAGGAGAGGCCTCTCCACAGTCGGATTGCAGAGGGGTTGCATCGTGGGGAAAAGGGAGAAGGAAAGGAAGAGGGAGACTGAGGGAGAGAGAAAGGAAGAGCGGAAAACTGCGAGGGAACTGGGTGGCCTTCAATAAGGGCACACGTGCTGAATTTTC